ATTGGGTAGTGAGGTGTGAGTCTGAAGTTGAGAACGGGGCACAGTCCAAACTACAGGTGTACATGTAGGAAGTTAATGCATCTGAATAGTAATTTGAAACCACAGGTGGAGGATGAATGTGGATAGTGAGAAGGGAAGAAATCCAAAGCTGGTGCATTGAGGCACGTAGGTGTCCAGATGCCCTGGAGAAAAGGAAGTACCAGCAAAGGAGATAGACAGAAAGTGGGCCCGGGAAGGAGGAGGAAGAGCCTGGTGTGCTGGATTCAAGGGAGTTTAGGTCATCCCGTGTGTCAAATGCTGCGGAGTCTAGCAAGATCTAAGGGCTAGCCACTGTGTGTAGAAAGCTGGAGGGGAAGCAGACCAGTTTTGGAGAAGAGGTGAGATTGACAGCTGGAGCAGATAAACACCTGCACCTGCCTTGGCGTGCCTGGATCTGATGCTCAACGCCAACCTCCAGCTTCCTGCACGTGGGCAACTTTGGAGTCAGCAGGTGACAGTTCGCACCCGTGGGTCAGACCCAGTCTCCTGGCTTCAGCCAGCCCAGCCAAGCTCAGCTCTGGATGTTGTAGGTTATTTTGGCGTAAATCAGTAAAGGAGAATTCTCTTTCCTTGTCTGTCCACCTTCAAATAAATAGGTAGAAAATCCTTTTTGTAAAAGCAATCAAATTTAAAACTGGGCAGGGGCATATGTGTGGCACAGCAGTTAATATGCCAGTTGGAGTCAAGTTCCTATTCCACATGAGAGCCAGCATCTTGCTCTGGGTACCATGGGAGGTGGCACGTGGTGGCTTACCTGATCAGATCCCTGTCACTCATATGAGACTGAATTTCTGGCTTTAGTTTCACTCATGCCTGGCTGGGACAAGCATTTAGCGAGTAAGCTAGCAACTCTATGACTCTCTTTCTCTGCGTGTGTATCTGTGTATTTGTTTCTCTTCTTCCCTCCCTCTTCTAGCTGTCTGTATCTCTCTCTGTCCCGGCATTTCAAATAAAGGCACTTTAAAAAATTTTAAAGTAACAAGATATTTTAAAAAGTAAAAGTTTGCAGTTTGCTGAAGTTGGGACAGTACAGTGATAACCATCACGACGTACATGATGGTCAAAGCCAGACCTGCAGCCACCACCCCAGGGTCGTCCCGTCTACGTTAAAAGTTCCACGGGGAATGTGTGGCCCAGATCGTTTATGGCACGTACCAAAGCTGAGCCTGGAGCCAAGCTGAGAGCCCTTACAACCACCAGTGCCAGAGGGCCATTTAATTTGGTCTGTATCAACAGTCTGATTCCTTTTGACACCCGTTAGCTACCCTTCGTGATAGCTGCAGCCCTGTCCTGCATGGCAACAAAGCAAAGGGTGGTTTCAGAGGGTGATCTTGCACGCACTGACACAACCGTCCAGGAGAGGGCAGTCGTGTCCCTAAGCATGTCTGCCCCACCCACCCTGCGGGTCTGCACACATGGACTCCAGGCTGAATTTCGTTTCATGGTTCCTCCCCATCCCCCCACCCCCCATTCCCGAAGCTGGAGTTCCTGATTCCTGTAGGTGATTTGCAGGAAGCAATAATTCTTAAACAGCAGTTTTGCCCTCAGGTGGCACCTGTCAGGATCTGGAGGCATTTGGGACCATCGTAAATGGGGAGGGGAAGGAAGCCTGAGGGTAGAAGCGAGGCCTGCTGCTTAACACAGCCCCACCCCCACAGAGAAGCATCTGGTCCAAACTGCCCATCCCAGCGTCGTGTGGGGGAAACACGGCCATAGGGAGACATCTATCAACAGCCTGGAAAAATTGTCTTGAACAAATAGAAAACTTTAAAACTTTTATTTATTGGAAAGGCAGTGACAGACATGTCCATCACAGCCAGAGTGGGTCCCACAGGAGCACCAGGGGCCTGCCTCCCTGGGGCCACTGCCTACTGCCTTCCGGCATGCGTATTAACAGGAAGCCAGAATCCCAAACACAGACACTCCAATATCGGGTGTGGGTTCCCAGGCAGATCTTCACTGCTGCGCCAAACAGCTGCTCTGGAGATGGTTTTGATAAAGACAATCCAAAGCAGCTCTGCAGAATCAAAGCTAACAGGTTTTGTTCTTTAGTGGTGGGGGAGGGGGCGAAGGTTTTAAGGTCTGTGTTGGTCTTGACTCAGCACCTCACCTGCTCTGCTTGCTGCCTATGACCACCAGGGTGTGCAGCTGAGGTATGTGGGACTGTGTGGTAGACAACACAGGGCATCCTTAGGGACATGACACATACACCCAGACAACACAGGACATCCTTAGGGACGTGACTGACACACATACACCCAAATAACACAGGGCATCCTTAGGGACGTCACACACACACACACACACACACCCAGACAACACAGGACAGCCTTAGGGACGTGACTGACACACATACACCCAGACAACACAGGGCATCCTTAGGGGATGTCACACACACACACACACACCCTGCCCGGTAGTCTCCACAGCCTGTGTCCTAGCCGTGGGATTTTCTGGAGGAAATACTGCTCCTGCCCTGTGGAGATGTTCCCTGACCTGTGTGGTACTGTAAACTTGCTCTTGCAAAGCCATACGAATGGGCTCTGGAGGAGGAAGCGTGCGTTCTCCCCCTAAGCGGGAAAGCCACGGCACCAGCATCCCCATTGTGAGGGGCTGCCCAGCTACTCTGGGAATGTTTCAGCAGAAGCATGTGTATTCATCCCTGCCTTACTGAAGTAGAGATGGCTTTCAAGCCCAGGCCAGCCCCTTGTTCAATCACCTGTTACTCTTTCTTTAAAATAAGTCAAGCTGGTTTACTTTTTAAACGAATTTGTTATTTGGCAGGGGCAGTTGCGGAGAGAGGAAGAAAGGTCTTCCACCTGCTGGTTCATTCTCCAAGTGGCTATAATGGCTGGGGCTGACCAGGCCATAGCCAGGGGCCAGGAACTTTTTCCAGGTCACCTACATGGGTGCAGGGACCCAAACACCAGGACCATCTTCTGATACATTCCCAGGAGTCTCGGCAAGGAGCTGGATCAGAAGTGGAGTAGCCAGCATCCATTTGGATTCCGGCACTGCAGGCGACAGCCCGACTCAGTACACCACAGTGCTGTCCCCACCACCACCCCGCTCTTTCCGACAGCATGGCTTTTGTTCAGCAGGACAGAACGTATAAGCAAAGAAGATGAGCCTTCATCGGTGGGACCAAGTTTGGTCTATAGCGTAAGGATCCTGGCACCTTAACCTTGTGCACAGATCCTATTGTGAACGTCTCAAACAAACGCTCATAATGAACCCAGAGACAATTTATACCTACTGTAGGAAACAGGAAGCCATCTTTAAACCTTATTCAGGTTGTAGCCGTCACCAACGTCAAGGGCCTGTCTTCTCCCTTGCAGTAGTTTATTGACAATCCTCAAGGCACAGGGGAGAGGGCTTGGATGCAGGAGGCAAGTCACTGTATGGGACTCATGCATTTTGTGTTGGAGTGTGTCGGTTCAGATTCTACCTTCACCTCCACTTCCGGCTCCCTGCTAATGTGTTTCCTGGGAGGCGAGCCTGATGGCTCCATGCTTGGAACTCTGCTACCCGGTGGGACACCCAGGTTACCTTCCCATCTTCTGGCTTCAGCCTGGCCCAGCCCTACCCGAGCAGGTGTTTAGTAAGTGACCCATGAGATGGAAGATCTTTATCCATCTCTGTGTCTCTGCCTGAAGTGAGTGTAAATAAAAAACTTCCTGTAAAAAAATCAAACTCAGGCCCAGCATGATAGCTCACTTGACTGAAAATTGACTAAAAATGCCTTAAAGCACTGGGATCCCACAGGGGCGTTGGTTTTGTGTCCCAGCTGCTCTACTTCCCATCCAGCTCTCTGTTTGTGGCCTGGGAAAGCAATTGAGGATGGCCCAAAGCCTTGGGACCCTGTGCCCATGTGGAAGAACCGGAAGAAGCTCCTAGCTCCTGACTTTGGAGTGGCTCAGTTCCAGCTGTTGCAGTCACTTGGAGAGTGAACCAAAAGATGGAAGATCCTTGTCTCTGTCTCTTCTTCTCTCTGTAAATCTGCTTTTCCAGTAAAAATAAATAAATCCTAAAAAAAAAGAAAAGTTGACTATAGTGGGAGGACATCTGAAAATCAAACGCCGGATGACTAACCAGTCTCGGCAGAGCTGCTGCTCCTCAGTGAGGGCAAGCCAGGCGGGCGTGGCCGTGAGAGTGGCACAGCCCTGTCAGAGCGGCTTTCCCTGCCTGTGCTCCTGCCATGGAATCATCACCGTCACCATTAGCGCTCAGGGAGCGATGTTCTGCACTAGGCCCCTCTCCCATGCGCATTCTGTCATCTCATTCCATTCCCAAGCGACTGCCAGCAAGGAGGACCTAAAAGGCCAGGTGACACGTTCTGGGAAGGGGTTAGGTGAGATTTGAAACTAAGAAGTTATACAAGTGCTCAAAGAGTTTGCTTTTGACGTGAAATCTGAACAAAATCCTATGAGAAAGAGATGATCCTTTTGGTGATGTATTCTCCATAACACAGTCCTTCCTAATGGCTTTATAAAATCTTTTTATTTTCTTTTAAGTATTGTTTATATAGTTAAGAGGAATACACTCCTATGTGGGGCTCCGAGTCTTTCTCATGGCTTTGTAGGGTTTCATCAGTGTAGTGAGTTCAGTCAGCTTCGCAAACCACAGGTTTGGGGGTCAGCCTCATCCTTCTGCCAGTCCGAAGCAGTGAGACTTCACCAACGTGCCTTGACCCTTGCCAACCTCGGGTTGCACATCTAGAAAGTGGGGTGAAAATTGGAGCACTTAAGAAGTTCCTGCGCGTTGTCGGCCCAGCAGTCACTATAATGACTGTCATGCCACATCTTGAATGTGTGTTACCAATCTTTAGTTTTTGCTTTGAGGACAATGGAGCTGGTAAATGCCATTGAGGGGTTCAGCCTTTTTACATCTGGCTTTCATGTTGTGCTAAAGGCCAAGTGTGAAGAAAGTGATGGAAAGCATGCTTGTGTTTGAAACTTTAGGGACTGCCCAGGTTACTGAAGGTGGCCGGGTGGACTACGAGCCCCTGGCAGGCATCCGGCTCATGTGGTGGTACCACCTGGTGGGCCTCCTCTGGACAAGTGAGTTCATCCTGGCATGCCAGCAGATGACCATCGCGGGAGCCGTGGTCACTTCTTACTTCAACAGGTGAGTTTGGCATTTCCGCTGTTTCGGATTGCTTTGTGTGGTACTTGAGTGTAACCTTTGACTTGATCCTTTAAGGAGATTGATACGAATCAAAGATTAAATTATGATTTAGGCTGGGTGATCATTTGGTGGTAAGAAGAAAAGTCCCACCTCCAGTTTGTCCCACTTCCAAGAGAATGAAGAAGTCAAAGAGGGAAGTGGTCATGTTGTTTGGAATGGAGACACACCTGAAAGAAAAGGCCGAATTCTCTGAGACGTGTTCAGTCCTCTTAACGTCAGAGTTGAAAAAACAAACAAGCAAGCGAATCCTGGCCTTTTTGGCATATTCCTCAGTATGTTGTGTGAGACTCTTGTCCAGAGTAAAATCAGGAGAATGTTTTAAATCATGAAGATATTCTGTGCTACTATAAAATATGCTCCATGTCTATATAGCTAAGCACTAGTGAATCAATGACCTACTGCTGTGTTCATACTCCATTACCTCATGGAAGTGAGCACATGCATGCACACACACACACACACACACACACACAACGCACACCCTTTGCTTCTTCTGCATGAGACTCACCACCTCCACCAACAAGCCTACCAGGACCAGGGCAATGACAGGGTTGGCCTTGAGACAGGAAGCTGACTCCCCGCAGGGCAGGTCATCCGCTTGGTCCAAATGAATAGATAAACAGGAGTTTTCATGGGGTGAGACAGTCAGTCCGTGATGATTCATGCTTGGGAGCAGTTACCCCTGGCCATCAAGGGCACGGTAGGAGTTTCACATAGTCCTGCTGTGTGAAGGCCTGGTCCTTAGAGACCCTGGCAATCCACCAAGCAACTCTTACCCTTGGCATTGAGGACCTCAAGGCTGTGGGAAATGGAAGATGCACTTTTGCTTGCTCCTGAGAAGGGAAGCAAAAATTCCTCTCCCCCAATGGGCCAGCAGGTAGAGTGTGTTTAAGGTATTTTCTTAGAATCACAACTGAAATATTTTCAATGGGGATATTTGGTTTGGAGTTCCCAAGAAGCATATGCATTTTTAAATTTTTTTTTAAATTTTATTCATTTATTTAAGAGATTTCTTCTTTTTTTAATTCGTAAGGCAGATTTACAAAGAAGGAGAGAAAGAACTTCCATCCGCTGGTTCACTCCTCAAGTGACCCCAAACTGCCAGAGCTGAGCCGATCCAAAGCCAGGAACCAGGAGCTCCTTCCTGGTCTCCCACACAGATGCAGGGTCCCAAGGATTTGGGTCATCCTCTAATGCTTTCCCAGGTCACAGGCAAGGAGCTGGATGGGAAGTGGAACAGCCAGGGTACAAACATGCCCCTATGGGATGCTGATGCTTGTAAAGGGAGGATTACCAACTGAGCCATCACACCGACTAGAAGCACATTCATGCATATGCATTTATCTCATAATTCCTTCTCATGTCTGAAACATACTCCTCTCATCCCCATCCCCCAAGTCACTAAAGGATGAAAAAGGAAGCATGCACTAGAGTGGTGATAGCCGCATCGGCGAGAGGTAAGAAGCTTGAGGCCAGGGGAAGAGCTGGCCGGAGGATGTCAGCTGAAGGCTTGGCCAACCCTGGAGGCCTGCCTGTGTCGGCTGCATGCAGTGGCACAAGGTTGCTCTGGAGCCACCAAATCCCAGCAAGACCCAGAAATTCAAGGAACAAATAAACTTCCAAGAGTAAGTTTAACACCCACCCCCTCCTCCTTTTCTCCCTTCTCCTCCTACACAACGGAGGATGGGAACTTTGCTCTCCCTTGACCTGTAAGCCAGGACAGGGTCTGGACTTGGGGTGCATGACCCAGCAGGGGCAAGGGCCAGACTGTGTGCTGAGTCCAGAGGACCCTGCTGCTAACTCACATTGTGTAGCTCAGCGCTGGGGGCAGAGAGGCCTTAGCTAGAGACCAGAGACTTCCCCACTGAGGACGCTGCCTGAGCCAAAGCAGAGACCTACAGATACTGTCCTGCGGAGACCCTCAAAGAAACAAGCTCCCCCTGAACAGCAGAGTGAGGCCCAGTGAGCAGCAAGCAGCCCACTCATCCAGGGCTTCCACGTCACCCTGTAGCCCTCACTCTGAAGCTGGGACTGGAAACTTTTGACTATGAAGCATGTAAAGAAGGGAGAGGTCAAAATGGGCAACTAAAGCAAAAGGAATTGGGAAAACAGACACGGTGCAGGATACTGAACAAAACCATACACAATTTACAATAACAAAATAAAAGCATACTGCATGAAGAATTAGTGCATGTAAATTAAGACTCTACTCCCCCCAAAAGAATGAGAGAGCCAGAAAAACACATTAAGAATTAAAGCTATGATTGTAGGAGTGAATTTTGTATTAAACTTTAAATATATGAAGTTGAACATTGCTGGAAGCTCAAACAAAAAGAGATTTTAAAAAACAAAACAGAAAGAACACAAAAAGGATAAATTTAGGAAATTCAACTTCTGACTAACATGAGTTCCAGAAATAACAGGAAAAATGTTGTTGTTATTAAACAGAGAGAATTATCATAGAAAATTTCCCAGGGTTGTAGAACAGGAATAAAGGGAAGATTCCAGAAGCTTCTTGAAGGAGAGAAAAAAAAAATTGTAAAGGGTCAGGAACCAGAATAGGATGTGAGCTTGAACAGCAGCAGCTCTCAGAAGGGAGGCAGCCAAGCAAGGCTGGCACAGTTCTGGTTAAAGATGCTTCCAGTGTAAGATTTTAAATCTTTTCCTAATGCCAATCAAGGAGAAAGAAGAGTCACATTCAGACATACACAGTACTCTGAAAATCTCACTCTCTACAGCCCGTCTAGGAAGAATGTTCCCCACTGAAACTCGTCAGGAAGCCAGAGAGGAAAATCTGAGTTTCAGAAAGTAGGTGGCAGCCCAGGCGTGAGAGAAGGGAATTCCTAAAGAGGTAGCTGTGCAGCAGGTGCAAGAAGCAATGAGTGCCAGGAGCGATGACACCTTGAAGAGACAAAGAAATAGAGAATAGACTGAACGGGCTCGAATGGGTTGAGAAGAGTTTGACACCTTAGTGAACATGTGGGGATGCCCACAGAAAATCAAGTGGGGAAGTGGGGAATAATTATCAGCACCAGAAAGAAAAAAAAAGGAACGTTGCACAGGAAAGGAAAGAGTTGCTTGGATTAGGTGTGAATATTTTTCACCATGCACATTACTTTTGTACTGATGATGTAAATACCAAGCATCAATGAAAATTTTGACTTTAATTATATTGGGAGAAGGGAGGATGGGTGAATGAGTGTGTGGAGGAGGGAAGTGGTTTTGATGGTATAGAAAAAGCAAACCCAAATCTTCCATAGTTAAGAGACCTGTCTGAAACTGAAAAATTAAGACATAGCCCTAAGAACATGTAACTGTGCAGTGTGGAGTAAGTTCCAGAAAAAACCGCTTAGATAGACTCCTCAGGGAGAGAGAATTAAGGATGGAGGGAAAAAAAAAACTGCTCAATTTTTCTATTAAGCCTGGGCTTAAGAAAAGAGAGAGCAAGGTTTATTTATTTGTTTGACAGACAGAGCTACAGAGATAGAGATCTTCCAAATGTCAATTCACTCCCCAACTGGCCACAACAGTTAGGAGTGTGCCAGGTGGAAGCCAAGAGCCAGGAGCTTCATCCGGGTCTTCCACATGGGTTAAGTCTGGCATTTGAAAATACTTTGTCTACTTCTTTGATCTTAAAAATAATTTAAAATAAAGCCCATGGATATTTTTAGCATGAATATTTCATTTTTTTTTATCAAGTTCTGCTTTCTTTTTGGCTTCCTGTGTAAATTTGAAACCTCGGGTTTTTTCTTATCTCAAAGTTCACAATTCTTTAATACCATGTCCTCTCTAGCACACGGGATGAGGGTGAATTATAGCCAGAAAGCATTTGTCTTTGTCATTCACCTAAGCTCAGAAAGGGCTGGAGAGCTTGTCTACAGGCTGTCCAAGTGCCAGGCTATGGGCAGCCTGCAAAATGTACCTTTTAGAGCCATTTGCTTGAAGGGCCGTTGTCAACTGAGTGCCATCAGGGGTGCTGTTAGGCGAGTGGGAAGAAGGAACTACAGCCATTTAACTCATAGAAGGGACACTTGAGGCATGACTTCATCGTCATTTTCAAATACACAAAAGATGGATTCCAGCTGTTCTGGATCTGCTAAGGAGGAAGAGAGGAAGCAGCTTCATAGCAGAGCCAAAGCAAGGGATTTGGATGGAGACGAATGCATTTCCCCACCTGAACAAGAGTTCCGCAGACAGCAAAAGAGCCCTGTTCTTTACACCATAGATAAGTCCCATTATCTCTAGGATTGGCAGAGATGAACTTTACAACTCCCCTGCCCCATCATGCAGAGATTTTACTGAGAGAAAATCAAGAAAGGGACATGGCCTTTGAAGGGTCCTGGAAGTTCTCCCTGACTCTCGCCCAGCTACACATTGGAGGCCACCAGCCTGTGCAGCCAGGCTTGGTTCAAAATCCTCATTGCCAAAACTCAATAGTGCCAGGAGAGTTGTTTCCTGAACATTAGGCTGGTTCTAACTGGAGCCAAAGCTTGTTCCTCTACCCTGAAATTGCCTGCTCTGCTTTATGCTGTGTTGTCCAAGGGCACTGAAAGTTACAAAATAGTACCCATGTACCATGGCCAAAGGTATAATCAAACCTGAATAGGTGGACCATTAAACCCTTGTCTGATAACTTAGGCCAATGAGGTTGGCATTCTGAGGATCTGGCTGCATTGCACAGCATCAGGCATTATCACAGTCAGGCGGCCCCAACTCTCAGAAGAAAGGGGATTGAGTTTTTTGAGTATGTCCTGGAGTCAGCTGAGCCTTTAACATTGCCTGAGTCTGCCTTCCTGCCACTGCCTCCCCCCCGGGGCAGGTGGATGTGGCCCAGTTGGATGGAGATCTGTCCTCCTAACTCCCAGGAGACCCTTGAATATGTCTGACTGCCAGCCTTCCAACAGACTCATCAGTGATTTGTTCAATACTGCAATGCCAGCCCCTAGACTAAATTTCAGAATACAGTGACATACAGAGACAAGTAGTGTTTTGCACCTCACTGGCTACAACCCTGTTCCTACAGGTGGATGTTGCTGGTGGGTGGGGGACAGAGCTGAGGGCACCAGTCGCTTTGTAGCAGGCAAGGGGTAACAGGATGATGTTGCCTGGGAGTGTTTGAAAGAACTGAGAAGATGGTACTTGAAGGGTCTTCCACTTATTTAGCTTTGGCTTGGATTGAAAGGGCCTTTGTTTGAAGTTCCCTTGTTCTTCAGCTTCTAGAATCTCTGCATCTTCTTTCAGACAAGCCTTGCTGAGCCTGGAGTCATAACCAGGATGTGTTACACACTGGTGAAGTTGAGGCCACACTCCCATGCATCCCCCTGACATGGTTCATCTCATCACAGTGCAACCATTTTGGAAAGTGGGTGCTGGATCCCATCCTCAGTAGCTGGAATTGAAATCCCCAAGACCTCTCTCCATGGGGGCCCATGAGTCATTGATTCCCCTGACAAGCTCTCTTGAGCACCATAAGAGGTTCTAAGGTGCATTAATCTCCACAGTGGAAAAGCTGATTATTATTTTTTCCTCCAAAAAGAAAACAAAAAGAGATGAGGAAAAGGAAAACTGTGTCCGATTTTCCTGGCCTACACTCCTCTAGCTGACCAGTTTCAGACGACTCTTTGTCTGCTGTGGACTCTCTGGCTTCCTATTTTGAACACACTTGGGAGTGGGTTGAAACTTGTATCACCCTTTCTGGGGACAGCAGGTCTGCAGTTCTTTGGCTCCCAATACCACTTCCACTTTCTCATCTTCCTCCTAGCTGATTTCAGGAACAGCAGGATGCAGCCCTTGCCAACTCGTGAAACATTTCTGGCCGTATTCCCTTTCCCTCCCTCTAAACCTAGGCTGTTGTCAAACTCTTGAGTCATAGTGACTTATTAGCAACCAGAGCAAGTGGTAGAAAAATCCATTATGCAGAAACCAAGCTTTACTTGGAATCTTTGAAGTCCCTTCTGGGAAAGGGCCTCATTGTCGAGGACTGGCATCAGCAGGGACTGCAAGGGTCACCCAAGGGTCGCACCAGCTCTCCTTTGCTCCTCTTCCTCCCTTGCTTTATCCATCAGGTCTTGGGTAAGGCAAAGGTTGTGCCAATTCTGTCCCTTTTTACTTTTTTTCCCTCCGGCCTGTGAAACTAACTTGTACACATTTTTGAGAGCTGCGTCATGACAAATCCTGTAAATGATTCACACTGAAGTGACCTTTACAGGGCAGCAGAGAAATCAGCTGGGTTTCAGGAGCCTGGAGCTGTACAGAGGCCAAAACACACCGGCTTTCTGTCTCTCCCCTCCGAGCCTGAGCTCACGTTACCGCTCTGGCCGCTGAGCCTGGGCACGTGATCTGGTGATGATGTTAATCATCGAGCTAACACCAGCAATATTTACATGTGCTCCTGTGTAGCTTAAGCCTTGGACATTGCGGTCTAACTCAATGTCTAAAATTGAACTCAAGGTTGGTTGAAGGTATTCTAAAGAGTGAACTTGGTTTAACTCCTTAGTGTTCATATGTACATCCTTTTTTCTGTCCTATATTTGCATCCTTGAATACCACTGAAAGTAATTAAATTATTCTGAGATAATAATTTAAACTTAGCCATGAAGGTGCATAAAACTATTGCCAACTGTATCATTGCTTTGTAAATTGCTAGTACATGATAATATTAGTAAATTGTTAGTGGAGTAGATATTTGGTGCATAAGACCTCAAGTCAAAACGCCTTTTTTATTGGAAAGGCAGATTCAGAAAGAAGGAATGGGAGAGATCATCCATTCGGTGGCTCATTACTCAAACGGGCCAGAGCATTAGCTTAACCTGATGTCAAGAGTGCCTCTTTCCAGTTCCCACTGCTCCACTTCTAATCCAGTTTCTTGCCAATGTGCACCCTGGCCTCGAGTTACCTGAGTCCCTGCCACCACAGGAGACCTAGACAGAGGTCTGGGCTCCTGGCTTTAGCCTCACTCAGCCTGGATTGTTGCAGGTATTTGGAGAGTGAACAAATGGGTGGAAGATCTCTCTTCCTCACTCGCTCACTCACTCACTCCCTGCCTTGCAAACAAGGTAAACATAAATCAATAAAAATTAGGAACAAGGGGGCCCAACACAATGTCTTAATTGGCTAATCCTCCAAGTGCTGCCGGTTTGTGTCCCAGCTGCTCCACTTCCCATCTAACTCCCTACTTGTGGCCTGGGGAAACAGAGGAGGATGACCCAAAGCCTTGGGACCCTGCACCCATGTGCAAGATCTAGAAGAAGTTTCTGGCTTCTGGCTGCTAGGCTCAGATTGGCTCAACTCCGGCTGAGGCAACCACTTGAGGAATAAACCAGCAGATGGAAGATCTTTCTCTGTCTCTCTTCTCTCTGTAGATCTGCCTTTCTAATCAAAATAAAGAAATCTTTTAAAAACAAAGGCCCCGGACCCTGACGGCTCAGTGCTGCCTGGACCCTCCCTCCAGGCTGTGGCCACATGGCCCCAGGTCTGGCACGCAGACCTCATGCAGGGCTCCCTACTGCCCTGGAGACAAGTTGCTGGCTCGGTGACCACACACGTGGGCTCTCAACGGTGAAAAGAAAAAGAAAGAAAGAAAGAAAGAAAGAAAGAAAGAAACAAAGAAAGAAACAAAGAAAGAAACAAAGAAACAAAGAAAGAAAGAAAGAAAGAAAGAAAGGAAAAGAGGACAGGGAGACACTGACACAATGCTAGAATAAGCTAAGCCTCTGCCTGCATTGTCAGCATCCCATGTTCCATATGGATGCCAAAGTGAGTCCTGGCTGCGCCACTTCCCATCCAGCTCCCTGCTTATGATCTGGGAAAGCAACACAGAATTGCTCAAGTCCTTGGATGCCTTCACCCACATTGGAGATATGGAAGAAGGTTCTGGCTTCAGACGTGCCCAGCTCCAGCCATTGTGGCCACCTGGGGAATAACCCAGTAGATGAACAATCTCTCTCTTTCTCTCCTCTCTGTGAATCTACCTCTCAAGTAAAATAAATATATCTTTAAAAAATTAAAAACAAGAAAACTGTTAGCAAATCAACAATTTTCATATAGGTTTTTGGTTGCCTTTTAAATAGTGCTCTTAAAACAATTCTTTTTCCAATTCTCAGAAACAAAAATGAGCCTCCCGATCATCCGATCCTCTCATCTCTCTCCATTCTTTTCTGCTACCACCAAGGGACAGTCGTCAAAGGGTCGTTTTTAATCACTGCGCTAAGGATTCCAAGAACCATTGTCCTGTGCATTTCCAACACGCTGAAAGAGAAGGTAAGGCAGTGCCTGCTCTGTAATCCCATTGGCTGTTTGGGTGGCATAAAAAGTTCATGATGCAAAAATAAAGTAAGCGCTAGGGCAGGAGGGTTCCTGTGGTGGTGGACATGCACCCTCAGGTCCTACCCATCACCCGCAAAGCTGCTCCCAGCCCATGCTTTGTTTCTGGTCTGGTGGTAGGGGTGGCATGGAGTGGGGGTGGTTCTGAGTTCATTGGTTTTCCTTTCTATTTAAACGCAGAACGAATGGCATGGATGCATACAGTGAAATTGAAGTAAGCTTCTGTGGACAATTTTTTTTCTTTGAAGTATGAACATAGGAGTTCGTTTATGTGCTCCTGTTGAAGTGGTGAAATACCCCTTTTTTGTGTTTCCCAGAAAGTACCACGGGAAGTTTCTTGTGTTGATGAAGAAGAAGGGAAGAGATACAGGGAGAGAGCATGAGTGTGCTTGCACACACATTCACACTTGAAAGTGAGAAATGGGCAAGTTGACCTACATCCCAGCTTGAAGGACAGAAAACTGTAGTGCTTTTGTGTTTCAGTTTTTCTCCTCCCTGGTTTTTATTTCCATGCACATTTGGTTATGAATGCCAGTGGAAACCAGAACACCAGGAAAACAGCTGTTCTCATGGTATTTCTAAGCCTGCCAAACAAGGGAAGATTGGACTTCACCCAGCTTTCCTATTCTCACTCTGTTCATTGCCCCCTTCCTCACCGCCAGGTTTTGTAGACTTAGTCTGTCTCACAAACCTACTTGCTCCCAACTTCTGGAGCATAGCCATGTTTCCTTTGTACTTTGGGGAAATTTTATACATAGATTCATGGTATACTTTCCAATGATTTTTGTTGGGTCATTTAAGCAGAAATCTGAATTATTGATCTTTTCAAATATGTAATCAGTTGGGAAGAACTGATTGAATGTCATTTAAAATGATTTGGCTTCCTTATCTTGAAATGCATTCCCAGCCATTCTGATCAGAATGCATTCTAATCACAGAATATTTTCTTGTATTCCTGATAACATCATGCCTACCATTTGGTGACTTGAAGAGCTATTGCCAGTCAGGACAAATGTAGCTCTTCTGTTTTTCACTCTTTGAAATTAGCTATTCAATTTTAGGAAATTTAAAGGAAGATTTCTTGAAAAACACAGAGGCTTTTCATTTTAAAGGTTTAAGCTTGTGTGTGTGTGTATGTGTGTGTGTGTGTGTATATATATATAAGAAAGGGGAAGAGATTCAGGGACATTTCCAAAAGTTTGTGTACATAGAATTATACATGATATGTTTATCTCAGTACAAGAGCACTTTTGAAATCCCTGTGCTGTTTTCATGTGACATATTGTTCATGAACATGTTGAAACCCCTTCCCGTATATACATCAGCAATGGAGAATCATCACCCACTAAGCAGCCAGGGGCTTGCCACCTCTCCTAAGGTTGAGGACTTTAACCTCTCCGGGAAACAGCTTTACATAGATCTGAAAGAGACCCAGGGTCTAGAGGGACTAGACCCAGGGTCCCTCTGGCAGAGGTCCGTAAGGTTATTTATTACTCCTCAGATGCCCAATGTCCATGATGTCACCGTTGGGAAAATGTGTCCTTTCTGGAGTTAAGGAGAAGTGTCCTCAGCACCCTTGCAGCCTGGGGCTGTGCCTACAGTTTAAACATTTCACACAGCCGCTGCCTTGTAATCTTTGCTGCGTTGAAGAGGCTCATTCAGAGCCACTGTGGTGCTGACAAGTCTAGATCAAGTTTCATCCAATTGAATTAACAATGGGACAAGAAAATGTCCATATAAGGCTGTGTTATTCTTGGGGTCCTCATCTTTAAGCTATTTTAGGATTGTTTGGAGGGATTTCTTTTTTTCTTTTTTTTTCACTGCTGATGGTGGGTAGGTTGTGGTCCTTCGCCCTGCCCCTAAGCGTTTTCTGGAACTATTATTCATCCTTCAGTTATGCACAAATTCAAGTTATATTTCAAAGGACTGAATTTATCCCTTGAAATATAATCCTGACAGTCTCACTGTAGGATTTATTTCTCCAAATATGAGGCTTGATTTATTTATGTGAACATATAAACAGGATCTACAATGTATTATTTGTTTGGGGTTTGGAGTTGTGTGTTTTGTTTTGTTTTCCACCTCTGGGATGTGAATATTTCTTGAATTTAAGCTTTGAGTTGAAAAAGCCAACTGTGCCATTAATGGGACTTAGGGGCAGCTGATGAGAGGTTTTTTGGGGAAAGCCAGAACTGGAGGCCTGATTTCCCTTTGCCATTGAATGTGAGCTAATCGTTGGCCATTTCTGCTGAGGGTAAGAGCAGCCATACAGGAAGGCACACAAGAGGGGAACTTGGCGGTTAGTAGCAGTGCTAATAATTACCAGTCACATGTATGAGGCAGAAGCTCTCTTACAGGGTGAGATTGCTCCCATATCCCGGAGTGTGTGAGTCCAAGCAGGGCACAAAGGGACTCGGAAATTGCTGCTGCTCACATCTGCCCTCTGTTGTATCTCCTCTCTGTTCCTGTGGTTGCAACCTGGGCCCAGCAGCACAGCATATGTGCGAAGTGCAAGTTCAAATGTGGCCACCGCTGTTTCCAGTACCTTGACAAACACCTGTGCCAGCTCAACCAGGTAGGTCCCCTGCCATCTGCCCCACAGAGGGCTCCAACTAGCAAATCATGTAACTATTTTAGGCTTTTGGGCCATCCAGACTCTCACACAGTCACTTACCTCTGCCATCAAAGTACACAAAGCAGCCACAGACAAAACAGAAACAAATAAACAGGACTGTGTTCATGGATGCTGATGTCTGAATTGCATGTGATATTCAGATGTCAAGGAATAGTTTTTGTCTTCCTGACAAATTGCCCAACCATCTGAAATCATAAAAATCACTTTTGGTCTCAGTGGGTGGAAAGCAGGTGGGCGTGTAGATCTGGCCCCCAGGGCAACGTTTGTTAGTCTTTCCTACAGACCGTAAGAGCTAGTCTTCAGATTCTCCAAGAGATATATTCTCTTTTCAGAAGTAATAGGGGGAAGGAATCTTTCAAAACCCAGCATAATAAATACATATCAACTAAGAACTAATTTTCAGTGTCTTCTCTAAGAGCTATAATTTTCTTGAGCTAGGGAAAGAATTGCCTCCCTAATTTTTATATATTTCACTGAGCTTTTCCTTTCAAGCTATAAATATTCCTTTTCAAATGATTAAAATTATATACTACAATTGTTTGCATTTCAGATGTTTTTTGTTCTTTCCCCACGTCTTTCAAATTGATGGAAATTTAAATATATGTTTTATTTTTCAGTAGATCACTTTGGGAAATTTTAATAGTCCCTTGGCCAAACTTACACCAAACAGTATTTTTTGTAAGCCAACAGATTGTTTTGTAACTTCAGAGTTCACAGAAATCTCTCTTCTTATTATTTTCCCTCTTCCTAATAAGTATACCATTGTACGTAAAGGGACTAATTACACCACTGATCTTCATTGTCTTAGAAGTGGCATTTAGAATGCCTTTCATTATTCATAGAGAAGTGTGGTCTTTTACAGTAAAGCTTTATTTTTAGGGCTCTGCTTAGAAATCTTGGAGCACATTCTGGATTGTATTTTTGATTTTTTGTATTGGTACAAGTCAGCATGTATAAAACACAATAAAATATAGCATCCTTCAAAATATTGAGTAATATAGTAAGTAAGCCAAGCTCTATGAATATACTTATCACATCAGATCATGCTCTGTCTTTTTAAAGCTGCGTATATAAATCCAGGGACCTGCTTAGTTCATAAACATTTTGAAATGTATTACAAAAACTCTGAAGCATTATGCATACATAAAAAGTCAAGGCAAAGATGCATAGACTGGAAAGTCAAAAGCGGTGGAAACATTGACATACAAATAGTAGGCCCCAAGGTAGCATTGCCTTCCTTGCCAACTATATAATGAAATTCAGGTTCTGGCTGTGTTCCTCGTTCACTCCAGTTTCCAACCCACCCCATGGAAGCCTTGAGGCTTTTTGTGGATTCTGCAGGGACCACCATATCTGGATGGGGGAGATGGGTAGGCAGAAGGAGATTGGGTAGTCTCTGACCTAATACCACCCCTCTCTGTCCTGCCTTTCCAGCAGAACAGCTCGCTCTTATGTGAAGTAAGGTAGGAATCCACTGAAGGTTCCATGTGAAGGCAGTAGCCTGCTGTTGAAAGCACTTTGAAAATCACTCTCTGCTATCATTCGCATTTTTGAGTTCTCTGCCCTCTTTCTAAAGGACATGCTTGGTACCTTCTGAAATTCCACTGCCTTTTATTAAACTAGTTCTGTACCTTTGGGAGTTTCCAAGTTCCTAAGTGGGATAGTGATGAATCCTTATAACAGATAGACTAGAGGGTAATTGTTCTTGGATCACACAAAGTCTAAGCTAGCATTGACCCAGTCAGTGGTGCATGCTGGGATAGGTCTTTGGAATTCTAATTTGGGGCCTGTGCACTAGACTGTGGCCAGAACAGCTGTCACAGTCTTGACCTTGGGATGAGCCCTATACAACTGGGCAGCACCAGCTGATGTGGGCACTGCTGGCAGGTTTAAGATTTAGGAGACTGAGAAAGAAAGAAGAAAGAATGGAAAGATATATTTTTCAAAAAGAACTGGGATGAATATCAATGAAGAAGGTAGGGTCACATGTGGTATAAATCCACTCTGGGAAAGTAGATCAAGATTTTTGAAGAATAAAGATGATGACTGGATAGTGGTGATCACAACTTTTGTTGACCTCATTTGCCTGGAACAAAGGAAAGCGAGCTTGAGAACTTCCATCAGCCTTCAGAGACATTTCTGGGCATCGGGATGGGTTACTAGGGGAAGCTTTGGCGTCTCTGTCTCTAGAAACCAGAATTTAAAGGACTGAGACCTATTTTATTTAACTTGCTTTGTAAAACAGGAGCTGGCAAAAGCTACAGGGGAATGACATCCATTTGTTACCATCAAAACCCAGATGCGCTTCTGTATTTAACATCAAGGAGCTGGTTGTGTTTTACCAGCGCTTTTAAAAAGCTTCATCCATCTTCACTAAGTCCCAGGAGGGAGGCAGGTGGCAGGGAGGAGGGAAGAGGGAGGCAAGGAGGAGGGAGGCAGGTGGCAGGTGGCAGGGAGGAGGGAGGCAGGTGGCAGGGAGGAGGGAGGCAAATGGCAGGGAGGAGGGTGGCAGGTGGCAGGGAGGAGGGAGGCAGGTGGCAGGGAGAAGGGAGGCAGGGAGGAGGGATGCAGGTGGCAGGGAGGAGGGAGGCAAATGGCAGGGAGGAGGGTGGCAGGTGGCAGGGAGGAGGGAGGCAGGTGGCAGGGAGGAGGTAGGCAGGGAGGAGGGAGGCAGGTGGCAGGGAGGAGGGAGGCAGTTGGCAGGGAGGAGGGAAGCAGGTGGCAGGGAGGAGGGTGGCAGGTGCACTTTGTCGACACCTAGCCTAAGCTGTCCAATAACTCAGTGGCAGATTGAGTTACTTTCGTTTGGGAATAAAACCCCAAATCTCATCATTTCTCAAGTGTTTGTCCCTCTGTATTGAAAATACCAAGTGTACGCATACCTAAAAAAATGAGTATTCACCTCACAGATTGATGTATCCAAGAATCGTTTATTTTTTAGCTGTATGAAAACCATTTGTGCTTGACCATAGCAGGGGGAGAGACAGTGGTGACCCAGAGTCAATATGAGCGTATGTCTGAACCTCAAAGCATTGAAAAACTAGTCTGGGGTCATGGGAAACACTAAAAGACAAATGCATGAGATGTTTTATGTGACAGTATAGAAAAAATACATGTGCAAGTGGTGGAAGGAGGGCTGTGGAAGTTCATAAAAGGAATACTTGTAATTGGGGGCCCTCATTTGACTTGCTATTGGAAATTTCATAGAAGTTTGACCTGAATATAGCACCTCAGCTGGCCTCACCATTCACTGTAGGCATCGGCACTTAGCTGTGTTGCCAGTTCTGTGCTAAGCAGTTTTCCTGGGTTCTACCAGTTGTTAGACTTTAAGGCCCTTTGGGATAGCAACTCCAGGTTACAGATAAGAAAGCTGAGACACAGAGAAGGCACAGCATTAATGGAAGAGCTAGGCTTTGAACCCAGGTCTGTTTGGCCTCTGGATGCATTTTTTAAATAGCTGCAGAAGGACTCATGATTACCATCTGGGGTTGTTCTCTTCCAGACCATTCCAAGTCAGAGTCTGGACAAGATACTTTGCTAGCAGAAGAAGTCTCATTATGTGGCAGATTTTTCTGTGGGAAGACAAGAAAGGGAGCGAGTTATGGGAGGCAGTGAATGATGAACATGGAACTCCCTGGGTCAGGCTAAGGCTGTACCCGGGCTCCTCAGACAGCTCAGTGGTTACAGCTTCCAGCTGTCCATTGCTGAGCTCAGAGATCTTCAGGTGAGGAGACCCCACCGCATCCCCTCTCAGTACTTCCCAGGGACCTGGCTGAGAAGCCCCCATGGGAGTGAGCAGGCTAATCGCTGGGCAACAGTGGCATGCCTTGCCATGTTCTGTGTGGTACTCACATGCAGCTCCTCATGGACATGTCCCCCTAAGTGCACATGTCTTGTCCCTTATGGACACGTGCGCACACACACACACACACACACAGACACACACACACACAGGTCCCAGTTCCACTGGTGGTTTTAGATCAGTGCTCTCTGAGGTGTAGCCCACTGTGGCTTCACACGGGTCAAGTGCTGTGGTGTGGTCCACAGCGCTCATCCTAATGGTCCCAAATGGATCTGAATATTCCAGAAAAATTCTTTCCAACTTGTACCAGCAAATTACAGATTTCCACAGAATTTCGTATTTGAGTATCATGGGAAGTGCTTTACTGATCAGCAAACTAGGTAGTACATTATTAAAAGTTCATTAAAATGTGTGTTTTCTTTAAGATTTATTTTATTTTTTTATTGGAAAGTCAGATTCACAGATAAAATGAAAGATCATCCATACTTTTTTTCCTTATTTAAGATCCTGCATCTGTTAGTTTACTCCCTAAGTGGCTACAACAGCTGGAGCTGAGCCAATCTGAAGGCAGAAGCCAGGAGATTCATCTGGGTCTCCCATAGGGGTGCAAGGACCCAAGGGCTTGGGCCATCCTCCTCTGCTTTCCCAGGCCACAAGCAGAGAACTGGATGGGAAATTGAGCATCTGGAATACAAACTGGCACTCATATGGGATCCCAGCCCATGCAAAGCAAGGATTTTAGTTACTAGGCTATTGCGCCAGGCCCAAAATGTGTTCCTTTCTAACCCACACTGGTGCTTTACTTAGTTTGTTGAAGATTTAAATCCCATTAGTCCAGTCAGGTGATGCCTGGCTACCTGCAGAGTGCCTGGGCAGAGATGGGAGCTGCCTGGGTAGTCAGCTATCTTAATGAACATTTTGCTTCTGGTCATCGTTTGGGTCCTGTTCAACTGGCTATGATATCTCTTGCACCTTGCCTTCCTCTTCAGTCTTTAGGTCTTTCCATGGAAGCGGGAGCAGGTGCAGAAGTGAGCTGAGGATTGATGTTAAAGGAGCTTGAGAACCACTCTTTGTATTCCAGATTCCTGGGAGAAGCCCCTGGGCAGAGGAGACTCCTTAGTCCAGTCTGGTTCTTCCC